ATATTTTACTAACGCAGATTGTGGATTTTTATAAATTCGTTCATTGGGATCTTTAGTGAAATAGCATAGTCGTTGAAATTTAAATATTTTCTATAACAAGATGTTTCAGGTTAGGAGCAGAATAAGGAAGTAAGTGGCTGAAGTACCTGAAATTGTAAGGGATCCTTTGTGTAGGGTTATTTTCGAAGAATCACTGCCCAGTGTTTGCTGATGTACAGTCAATAATGCAAAGTAATTACCTCACGATCAAATTAGATTGCGTGAAAAACTCGCTTAATATTTAAACAGCTTATAACACATCGATCGAGGGCACTTTTTGTTGTGGTTTGGACTATGCCATTTGACCATTACGAAACTTTCTTCGCAGCATAGACATAATATATGAAGCAGCAGATGTGACTAGGGAAATCGGTAGGTATGACTTACAGTAGATCGTCTATCTCATGTCAATCGACATTCTGAAATGTGGTTGTGATCGGAACAGATTACCTAGGAAGGATTTTAGTACTGATAACCCCGTCAGCCTAACCTCAGAATAGTTATGTCACGCAAGGATTCCCGCTTTTAAACGAGTTTCCTTCACAACGCTTGCGAAATATATAGACTTTAAAAAAGGATAACATATATCCTATATATTTTTATTACTGTTTCTAAATGCCTGTATAAACTCCGATATATTTCGTAGGAAGCATGTGCAAAAATATACTTTAAGTGCTCCTCTGGTAGCAAATTAGGAATTCTTCAAATGTTATACCCTACAATTGTATGTTCTGGTCACTAAAAAGGTTCCTAATTAGGGGATTATTTACGATAGTGAAATGCTCATTCGTAATATATCTTATCCGTCAATGTATTACAGTTGTCTATAAAGTATATGACTGGACCCACGTTGACTGCAAAATGTTATTAAGACTATGCGGCCTCTTCCCCATGCCATAGGGAGATATGTACTTCTCCTTAGACAGAATGTATACGGCATGCTGTTTTGATACCTCGAGTTAAATCACAACAATCGGTAGGTTTCAATTTAGGAACTTTAAAAAACAGAAGGCAATCATTTTTAAAAAACGAAAGAGGACGCAGGCCTATTTTTACCGAACGAGTACAAGGGAAAATTTCCTTGTGTACGCTTTCTATTTACTTTATTTGAATTAATAAGGTTATATATATTCCATGCGAAAAAAACACATATTACTTAAGTTGCCACTTTTTACAGCGTATGCATTTTATCGGCGGTCTAAAAGAACGTCGTTCAAAGGCCGACATCCTAACGTGACTGAATTAATTTTAGAAACAGCTTTGGGATAGTTAGCATTCCAACCCTACTTGGTTAATTTTTTGGAGAAGAAAATACGCTTTGGCATTTTGGTTAATAGTTAGTGTGATAGAGAAGCTAAAGCATATGGTTCACTAAACAGGATAAATGGAGAGAAACTGCACTTATTATAAGTCTGGTTGTGTTAATTCCAGGTGGAATAGGGTTCGGTTTGCGGTCAAGATTAAAGTTAAGTTAGGGATTGGGTTTACGTTTAGCATAAGCCACAGGGTAAACATTTAAGGAGGGGGGAATTTGTATTGAGATTAGGGTAACAGCTTCGGTTTCCATTAGACTGTGTTCGATATAGGACGCGGTAATAGACACCCTTCTTGTAGTTGCGTGCATAGTAACTTTTATTATGTATAGGAAGCTTTTTCTATTCCCATGTCCTGTTTATGGAGCTTTGTAGGTTATTCTCACCTTGCTATTGTCTACTCAACATATCGGACACGCAGTGGGACGCTAAGGGCTAACAATAGTATTTGGCGCCGTAAGGATAGGAAACCTTCTAGATTCGGAAAGGCCAGTTTCCCCCAGACAGGCTCCCAAATGGCCGCACACCTATTTAGACGTAAGTTGTGCCACAAAATGGATGGAATGCCAGAGACAACGTTTTAGAAACACATAATGGCGGCTTATAGTCTGGCTTCCAACCTAGAATTCTGGCTTGGTATACTGGTCAAACG